CCCCAAAACCCCAAAACCCCAAAACCCCAAAACCCCTAAGGCATCATTTACAATCTAATTGGTATTAATTTTTGTTAATTAATCGTAGGAAGAAGTTAGATTATAATAATAGTTTTACAAAATATAAGATCTATGGTAGAAACATCTTCTGTTGCAAAGGATTTTCCCTACTTTGAAAGTCTCCCAAATTCCCTTTTTCAGGATAATAGAGCAAGATTCATCAAGAATGTGAAAGCTAAGTTAGGAGAGAGTCTAGCACCAAACGGAGTAGCACTTTTCAAGGGTTACACTGAGATTTTGAAGTACAATTCTGATTGTCCTTACCCATTTGTACAAGAGGGAAACTTCTACTACTTATTTGGAGTTAATCTACCTGATTGCTATGGAATAATTGACTTTAAGAATGAGGAGGCGACTCTCTTTATTCCTAAGCTTGAAAATATCTACAAAATATGGATGACTGTTCCAACTGTAGAGTTTTGCGAGAAAAGATTTGATATTAAAACTAGATATATTGAAGATCTCCCTTCATACCTGGCAGAGAAATCACCTGAAAAAATTTATATTAACTCAGGAATAAATACAGACTCAGGAGTGGCTAATCTCTTGCCTGAAGAAAAACACTATCTTGGCTATGGCTTGGATAAAGATTCAATTTACAATATTTTGGCAGATACTAGAGTGTACAAATCAGAAGCTGAAATTGATGCATTGAGATGGGCAACTGTAATTACAGTTGAAGGGCATGTCTAATTCATGAGAAAATGCAAGCCAGGTATGAGAGAGTCTTAGATTGAGACTTTGTTTAAGTCATACTGTGAGTATAACTATTATTGCGACAGAATTTCACCTTACATTGCAATTTGCGGGTGTGGCAATGGAGCAGCAACCTTACATTACAATGATAATGATAAGATCTTAAAGGATGGAGAGACTATTCTTTGTGACCTAGCTCATGCTGTGCACCACTACACTTCAGATATTACTTCTTCATTCCCAGTGAATGGCAAGTTCACTCAGAAATAGAGAGAAATATATGAAATTGTTCTCAAAGCAAGTCGTGAAGTACAGAGCATAATGAAACCAGGAGCTTCATGGGTAGATATGCACTTGCTTGCAGAAAGAATAATTCTTACAGGACTGAGAGATCTTGGCTTAGTATCAGGAGACATAGAGGAAATGATTGAAGGAAGAGTTGGCTATATCTTTATGCCACATGGTTTGGGCCATTTGATTGGGGTAGAAGTTCATGAAGTCGGAGGATATTTGGAAGGTATTACTCCTGAGAGAAGACAAGGTCCAGGCTTGAAAAATTTAAGAACTGCAAGAGTACTTGACAATGGCATTACCATAACAGTAGAGCCAGGTCTTTACTTTAGAGATTTTTTGCTTGATGGAGAATTTGGAGATGACTTAAAGATAGATATCAAATACCTTAACAGAGAAAAAATTAGAGAGTATTAACAAGAGATAAGTGGAGTCAGAATAGAGGATGTAGTATTAGTGACTCAAGATGGAATTGAGAATTTCAGCTCAGGGCTGCCTAGAACTGTTGAGGAGATAGAGGCATGCATGAGAGGTGAAGAATGGAGAAAATGATTAATTTGACTAAACAAGCTCAGCATATTATTAGATAGATAATCGTGATATCTTATTCGAAAAAGGAAATAATTTGTTAAAAAATCCTAATTTATTTTGATAATGAAAGCATTTCGGGGTTTTGGGGTTTTGGGGTTTTGGGG